TGGAGGCCGACGTCGCTGCAACCCCAGGAGCAGTTTGTTCGTCACTGAACTGAGCGAATTAATTCATCAATTTTGTGCTCCACAGTCATTTCCCTGACGCGCAGCAACGAAAAAATCGTCTGAGATTCGCGTCCACTAAAAACTCCATCTTAAGGTATCATCCCCCTCCCTCCCACTGGCGTGCTCCATACGGTCCCCTACCTTAGCCTAGCTTGGGTACTGTAGTAACTACTGCTAACAATATGTAGTATGTGTGACAACCAAACGGTACAAAACACCTACGTACACAAACTTCTACAGTTGAGGGGTTTATCTACAGTATCTCTGCGTCATCGCAAGCCTGGGGCTCCGGTGAGGGTGGGGTTTCACACTGATCTTGGCCCCACTCCCTCTGAGATGCTATGGAAGGCTCTCTAAGTGATCTGTTCCACTATCGGCCTCAGTTCTAGCGATGAGAGTCAGGTTGTGATCAAACTCAGTTCAGTACAGCCAAAAATGAAAGCCATTTGGCCATCCGAGGTCAGAAGTTCTAATATTCCTTGAGTAAGCACAGACGTCTGATGATCTTCTTGAAAGCAGCCCGGAAATCTTGGGAGAATACCGTGTAGATAATCGGATTGAGCGCCGAATTGAGATAACCTAAATGAAACCGATCTGACCATGAGTTGCTTAGTAACCAAGTAAGGAGGACACCAACCAAGCCAAGCAGTCACTGTCTCCACGGGACGCGGTATTGTACATCGGCAAATTGGCCTGTACAGAGATACTAGGAAGAATGGCGTCCAACATGCCACAAAGGTACCTGAAAATTCAGATAGTCATTCAGTCGAAGGCCCCGCCCCTTTTACGTTTACTTTCCACATCTAGTACATACCCGTTATTATCGCCAAAGTGCGCCAAGCTTTCCGTTCTCGTTTATTCTCGGCTGTTTCCTTTGATCGCCTCTTTTTCCTTATAATCATCGGCCGTAGTAATTTACCGTTCCCTAAAGCGAATTGATCAATAGGCCTGTTGACAATCGATTATCGATTAGCGTTACCTTGGTGATTGGCATGATCATCCAGTTTTGTTTCTTGCTCTGGTTGATTATGGGAGATTGTACGATCTTCTTCAGATTGCGTTGACGTAGATGAATCTCCAATACTCTGAACAAAAAATATAGCCTTTCTCCATCAAGATTCGATTTATTGATTATTGATTGTGCCTGAAGTCCGATTTATTGATCAAACTGTGATTCTAGTATTTATATTTATCTTAGTATTTATAAGCCTACGAATTAACATTGACTTTTTGCTTTTTTTGCATTGATATGCCAAAAGATTCATCGATCAGAAAATCAAACGCCTTCTCAAAAATCAATAAATCAATTATCGACTTGAATTTGCCTCAATGACAATACGATCCAACCTTTTTATTCTTGCTCTCCCCAGACTTCTCACCATTCGCCAACGAACTTTGTGTTACTGTTATCTGAGTACATAAATACTGTAAAATAAGCAAAGGAAAAAGCCGTATTGCAATTAACAGTGGTGGTATTTTGGTAATATGCGCTGCATTGTCGCTGGTGCGGTCCCAATCGGGGCAACCAATAGTTTCAGCCCTTCAGCACTGGAACTCTTGAGAACAGTGGGACTCAACTCCCACCCGAATAGTATCATTGTACATTTGAAGACGGGAATGGGAGGTGCTCAGGTCACTTGAAGGAATCTCAGTGTTCTCTAAAGTTCAGAATCTCGGTGATGTTCGGGTATCTCAATTGGGGTAGTCATCTGGCAGCGCATCGGCCCTGAACGATAACCTACAGACATCAGCAAGGGCTTAAGTCAAGAAGAATGCAATTTCAGAGTAGATAAGCGTCCCAGAAAGCGTAGGAGCCTAACATGGCAGAGTCAGGGGTCCATTTCAGTATTGGGTTGCATGCAATACGGTGCCGTCAACTACTTTTGCATCTACTACAGTAATCCCCCTACCTTCTTGTTCTTCTTCAAAATGAGCGGTGCCAATTTTTCACTGGTTGTATTAGATTGTTCAGGAGGAGGGCGTATTACGGTGCGGCGATCACGTTCACGTTTAAATCTGAAATCAAGAGATTACCTTAGAGCCGAATTCCGGTAGGAGAAATGTGCAAGCGATTCTTAGTCAAACTTTAATTCCTTACCTCTTCTTTGCAGCCCTTAAAATTTTCCAGTACACCACTATAATTGCTATAAGAGGGATGTAGAAAGCCGTTGCTGTCGAAAACACCTGAAATAATAGGAGAATCAACCATTTCCGAGTTTACTGCTCAATGTTGTTAAAATAAAACATGTTTTTGGTAAACTTAAATTTAAAGGTAGCATAAACAGCATAAGATGTCACGGTCAAAATTAAAAAAAAAAAA